GCCTGTTGGGACCATGGGTATTATTACACCAACAAGAGAACAAAAGCAAGAGAAAAAGGCCAGCTGTGGACAACTGACCGTCGTTTGTGAGCACAAAGTGAAACCAATGGCCAACGCGAAGTGAGACAACTGACTAAGATCTGCCCAATGTAACTACTACCACGCCTAACGCTTGTCCAAACTCGCGCTGTCGATAAAGATCATAAAGACAATCCCTTGGGGGTTCTTGCATGAAAATATCAAGCAATCACACATCATCCTGCTTTCAACTCATGGCTGCAACCAATCACGGATTTGCTCATGGCTGCAGGAAATAACCCTTTCCATGATACTGAAGTGGGCATCCCCGTGAAGGGGTTGGTGTCACACGGTGTTCCACAGATATGTTCTTGGCCGCAGAAAACCTGGTCTCCAGCCTCCTCCGGAGACCGTCCCCTCTCAAGGTCTCGATCGTTGAGCAGCGAACTCTTCTTGGCCCGCCTTGCCGCCGGCTTGGATGTGACGCGGTTCATTGATCCCTGGCTCAAAGTGCTTCAATTGGACATGGAAGTCATCTCTCCAAACGCTGGCCGTCTGGAAGTTTAATGATACGGCTGGGAACCGCCAAGTTACGTGGTAAGCCGTTGATTCAGATTACATCTGGGTAAACGGGAATTGGCGCTCAAAACAGACACGGCTACGCACTTCGCAATACTCGGAATGGATGGGAAACCTTTCAACAAAAACTTAACCTGAAAAGGTACCCTGAGAAAAACAATTAAGACATGACCGTAGTGAAAAAAAACATTGAAGTGCCTTGATCCTCGTTGCTCACAATTTGGTGGACCCTCCTATGCTTGGATGTGCTCAATCCACCTAGTAGGGCTAGTTACAAAAAAAAGGTTTGACTGGGACTAAGCGGACTGGGCATCAAATCAATATTGTAACCCGCAGAACAGAACCACCTTGTACGTCCATCTGGGATTGTCTTTTGTTGGTTCAAAGGCCACCAAATTTGAACACGGACCAAGCATTATTAGGGGTCCCCGATTTTAAGACACGCCCATCTGGTGTGTGAACCAAGTCATTGGTTTCTGAACCGCCCAGCCGACAGCCAAGGCCGAGACCTCCAAAACCAGGCTGAGATGCCTGGCGCGCCAGGAAAAGTTTCTCAAAGAGATGGCGTCCTCTGCTTATTCATGCCTGGAAGGGGGGAGGGAGCCCAAAGTTGGCTTCTTAAGGGCTTTTGTATGGCCCTCTCCCCTCCCTCCATCCCTGCCTCCCGACCCTGCAGGCCCGTGACTCTTGGTTTCCATATTTAAAAACACCCAAACAGTGCATCACATTCAGTCTTTGGCACAAAAGGGACCATGAACCGCAGATGTTGCGCATGCTGAATGCTTTTTGGACTGCTATGCATTCCCAACCCATGGAAGAAACAAGAGTGGATCCCAAGAAAGAAGAGGTCTCAAGCCTTTTTTTTGCATTCCTCCGAGAACTCCATCCAACAGCGGGTTGGATAGGACATGCTTGTCACGCAAAAGGTTGAGACGACCCATGAACCCCTTCACGACTAATTAACATGTCGCAAAGCAAATTGAACCAGATTGTAGTTTTGGGATTCCTCTGTGTGGTTTCCAGGTTTTCCGGACAAAGGACGTATATCGTTCGTCACCCTAGTGCGAGAGTGGTCAGTGCATTCTCCACCCAAAAAGTTGATGAGGGTCATGTGTGCCACGGTCACAAGCTATCTATAGCAGTCCCCTGGCTTTCGTATAAAATTCACAGAATTAGGGACGTGTTGACCGCACACACACACACAGCTTTCTTCAAATTTAATTGACTTTGGTTGTTGTTGGAACCAATACAACTTTTTGTGGTGCCTTTCGCTTGCCGAAGGTTCTTAGGTGTCACAACAAAATAGCTCGTCGGACGAATGTGGTCCAAGCCCAGCGAACAAGCGTAATTCCTCCACGTGTAAGGTGTGTAGCCTTCACACAAAAATTTGGTTTGTCTAATGGGAACCCCCCCCCCCAACCCCTCCAGCCCCCGCCTAACCAAAAAAATGAAATCTTTATAAACTTAACCTGCCTTCAAACAGCTCCAAGAAAACTTCCGACACCAGCACACCAGCGGAACACATGTGGCACACGGGACCTCCCACTCTCATTTTCACATGGAACCCAAAAATTGGAGGAATGTCCAATTTAAGGACCGCCAAAAAACGGGGGTTCTTGAGTACCAACGCAAGAACCTATCGGACTTGTGACTGAATGCGTTTAAAGTCGCCCATGGGAATCCAACACATTTCTTTCGATTCGACACGACAAGTCCTGCAAAAGTTGGAACATCGAGTATAAACGAATTCAATATTGCAAGGGGATTTTCACGAATTGCTTAACTTCCATGAATGAAACTAGTCCTGGTAGCTCTTTAGCTCCCTTTTGAAAAGCAAAACTGTTCCAACCACCAGCTAGTTCAGCCAATTTGTGTTGTTTCTCTTGGCCTTGTCTTAGGAAACGTTGGTTGGGACATTTGTTTCGTTCACCAGGACACAAATTATGTTTTCCTGCAGTCCCTCCCAAATATTCGGATATATGCAAGGCTCCGTGGCTCGTCTTTTTGCGAGAGTACCCCTTGTTTGAGGGGGTTTGAGAGGGAAACCGAGCCATGGAAAGCCGAGCCACTGTCGAGGGGTCTGACCTTAAAAAGGACAGGCCCCCCGAGGCCACAAATCCTTTGAGCACTACTGTACTGGACTGGGTTGCCATCTACCGTAGCGACTCAGGAAAGAAGCGGAAGCAGTTGGCTTGTCTCATTGGGCACTTGCCTTCAGCCTCAAAAAGTGCACAAACAAAAAGACAGGAAGGCCAAGATAGAGTTCTAGTTGTGCAAGCTAGGAATTAGGCAATCCGAGTTTTTGTCGGGGAATCCTTCTACTACGTCCACCATGATTTGATAAGCAACAAGCGGAGGCGGAGGTATCAGCTTGCTCTCTTTGAGTGGGACAGGGGTTTGCTTGTCAACTGGGTTCCCATGCAAATTCCAGCGCACCCTAATTGTGCGGTTTTTTGCGCGCCTCCCACCAGCACCACAGAGCAAGATGCCACGCTGGCGCCCGCAAAGGCGCCCCAATCGAAGGAGGACATCGCGACACGCGACGGCACGGATCGCTTGGCGAAGGCCGCTGAGCCAAAAGAATAGCCGCCGTGGCATGCGAAATTCGAGGGGTAACTTTTCCATGTTCATTCTGAACCCAGGCATCCGAAATTTCTAGAAAACCATCCAAAAAAACCTGATAAAAACGGCGATCGGTTTTGGAAAAGAAGGATGGCTGAAAAGAATGGACCAGGAATCAACCCCTAGAGAAATGCTGCTGGCAACCCACAGCTCCCTTCCGGACACCCCCCCCCCAATCCCCTTTGGGCTGTTCCACATGCCTAGGCTCATGCTCGGATCGGAGGGCCTTAGGAATCCCCTCAGGGCTGTTCCACGAAGAAATCTTGCCTAGGGTCGTACTCAGTCGAGGGCCCCTAACGACGCGCCTGGTTTGCCCAATGATGATATGGCACGAGGAAGCCCAACAGGCAACTTTTGACAGCGCAGCGTGACACTTTTAGATTAACTGCACAGCAACGGTTGAAGCTGTCCAAAGAATGTCTCCAAAGCTCATGTCGCACCCTTTCCACATAGTAGCACAAACAGCTTGCAGTGAAATATGCCCGCATCCCCAAAGACACCTTACCCTACCCTCCACCAAACAATCTTCACCAGTTCCCCCCCATTTGGCGGAAACAAAGAAACAACCCACAATATACAATGTAGCTTGATTCAACTTTCCCACGGCCAGAAGTTTATCTAAGGTTTCATTCAGTAGACACCCTCAAAAGGGCCCCTGTTGACACAGGCAAACCCTGTCAAAAAACAGGCAGCTACACAACTACAAGAAAATCACTAAAAAATCACCCTTGCATTCCCATCCCCATATTATCTTGTTCCTCAAAAACAATTTCTGGGACACACTCCAGGCCCGAAGAACCAATCCTCGAAAGAAAGGGCAACAAAAGGCCTGGCGGGTAGAAAACGATTAATCAACCCTGGCACAGGCTTCCAGTTCGTGCTTGCCCCAGGATATGTCTATCCCTCATCGAGATGTAAAGCTACTTCTGGGCTTCAGTCCTTTTAACTAAGTCCCTTGTCCCAAACGCGAACATCACCTCAACGCAAACTCACAAAACACTGGCAAGCAAGAAGTTCTGCTTGTTCAGAAGGGGGGTATGCTTTCAAGGAAACATGATCAATATGCTAGAGGGTACATATGCAGAACCCCTGATACATGACTTTCTCGATGGTTCAAAATGGATGGCTGGCCGGCCAATCCTATTCCATAGTCGCCCTGAAGAACTCAACAGAAGGGCGATATATCCAATCTTGCGTATTGCCGAAATGAACAACCAAAGTTAACCTGGAGCGACCGACCCTCTCAAAGCTATCCCGAAAATGGATTGAACTGATGGAATGGTGCACCGTGCGAAAACATCTTGCAGTCCCGCCCAAACCAACCTAAAGTTGGCGAGCCACAAAACATACTTCGAGTCAGGGCATGTGCTGACACCTCCAGCCAGAACAACACAAACTGCACCCTCTTTTGATGGCGGGTCGGTCTTCCTTTTTTTTTGAGGCTCCTTTCCTGCGGGTCTAGGGAAACCTAACGGAAACCCCACCCAAGGGATCCAAACAGAAAACACGAGCCCGGCCGACTTTCACACCGGCCCTATCGAAGCGTGAGGGGTCCACCCAGTCGGCTTTCAAGGGAAACTCGCTTGCTCAAAGGACCTGGACATACAAAGTTCAATTTTTGGAACATGGACTAAAAACCATGGCTCACTGTGAAAACCAAAAGGTAAGGTCTTTATTTTTTTTAACATGGCTCCCAACACTGCGAACACCAAAAAGGTACGGCCGGATTTAACCGAAAAAGCGACCAGGTCGAGAAACCGGACGCACGCTGAGTTTCGGTCCCTCAAGGTGTTGTCCGGACGTCTGCTGAAGGGTGCCCCTGACGTGACGCCGTCGGTCTATGGGTGGCTCGTCTTTTTGGATTCACTTCCTGCGTGGATTGGCGGACTAAAGGTTCGAGCGTTTTATTTGCCACTAAACCGGTCTTACTAAAAGTTTAAAGTCCAGGAACTCAGGGAGTGAGTTTGAGGTCACACACACACACACGGCCCTCCACAAGGCTTCTGAACGCAGATGGGTGGTGAAATGAACATATCGCTGGGAGGTCCAAACTAATCCCTTCAACTTTTAGTGGCTTGAATGGCAACCCAACCACTAAACCAACTGAAAGCTACCAAAGGAACTGGACGGGTTCCGAACCGAGTGGAGAGTACGTACACGCCTTCACAGCTCGCTTGCCCCCGCAAAGTTACTTCATGTTCATCCATTTGCTTTAAGCCCCCTCGAAAAAGTGAGAACATGTTGCAGTAGTGAAATTGATTCCCTTAAAAGTACACAGGGGAATAGAAAACAGAAGAACACATTCTGAAACGCACATGGACCTGTGGTGATCTCAATAGTGATGAATTCGTTTCGATCCTTCATGTGCCCTTTGCTCCCGCCTGATAGTAGTGGACCCGCGTCAATCAAATCCACGAATCTGGAGAAAAGTCACACATCTGGAGAAAAGTCCATTCAACCTTGATTCTTTGAAACATGTTGTAAGACAGCTTACTGAGTTGCTTTATTAAACATGTTCTTCGGTCTATCTTCAGAACTAGCACGGAACAAGAGAGTTTCGTCCCTTGCCTGACAATACAACAGATCGAAAATAGGGTCTAAGACAACTTCACAATTTCTAGATGTCTGAGTGTTGGACTCACAGTTGTCTCCCGAGTTGATGGCCCAAAAACGTCCAAACTTACTATGTACCACTAATCTGGTCTTCCCAAAAAGTAAAAAAGTAGAAAGCCCAGGAACTCAGGAAGCGAGGTGTTGCCTCTCGGTTCTCCTTTCAAAACATCATCCAAGAAGCTTCCTCGGCCTTACGGGCCCCAAGTGCCAAGTGGCCGCAAAAAAAAAATGCACCTCGAAGCGATTCCCAATCTCCAAGTCCAACTCAAGGGGTAGATATCTCAGGCAACTTGATTGCTGCAACGACCCCTCTACAAACACGTGTTTTTTTTGGTGGGGTTTATTGCAAAACCCCCTTGATGTCCCAAGAAGCTAAAGTCTAAACATCCAACCCAATAGAAATCAAGAAGCACAAGCCTTTAGATCCACGTATGGCTGTTGGTTTTACTAACGTGGCGCTACAGGTCGATACAAGCTTTACTAGATCCTCCAGTAGAGAGGTTAGAATAAGGGTACCACTTTTTTTTTCTGTAGTCTATTTTAGTAGGGGAACCTCCCCCGAAGAAGGGTAACAGGGCAGTACTGGGGGACCTAGTTTACTGTAAAACACCCACACTGTTCGGGTAGCAGAACATCTATAATTACTAAAATAGCCAATGGAGGTTTCGGAATCTCAGATGGGCTTGTCTCATTGGACCCCCAGAGTGCGTGGCTTCAGTTGGGGTGCTTTTGCAAACAATCCCAACACACACCCACCCACCCAACCACCCACCCACCCACCCACCCACCCACCCACCCACCCACCCACCCACCCACCCACCCACCCACCCACCCACCCACCCACCACCCACCCCCACCACCCACACCCACCCACGCACGCACGCACGCACGCACGCACGCACGCGCGCACACACACACACAGTCTTTCGACTCAGAGCCAAGGACAGCTTCTCTGAGCACTTTGGCCGATGATTCCAGCCCATTTCGGTGAATTCCCTAAGCTTTTCAGCCATCTGGTGTGGTTGTTTCTTGGGGGTATCCCCCCATTTGTGGTGTGGTTGTAAGGAAAAACCAGAAGGAACACCCCACCGTTGTCTGGTTGTTTTTTGGGGGGTCGAACCTTAAAAAGGCGCACCCATCACTTGACTAGTAAGTCCATCACCAAGTGGGACAACTCTTGTAGACATCTAGTCGTGCCAGGATCTTCCCCCGAACGGGCAAATGTGCTGTGAATTCTGGTCCGTATTTAGTGACCTTTTAGTGAATCTTCAAAAAGAGATCTCAAACGACAAGTTAAATATCTCTGAATGCGGTCCAAGTACCCTTTGAGGATGTTGTTTGGAGAGTTCAAGGGGTCAAACCACCTCTTCAGAACCAATTTGATGAAGTACTTGGGCCACGAAAACTTGGCTCCGTGGTTGCCCTTTGCCTTCCTACAAGATCAACTCGCTTCTTGAGTAGAGTGGCCAAAAAAAGTGCCCCAACAGCAAAACTGCCAAAGTTTACCCAGCAAAATGGTCCAAACCCAAGTGACTAAAGCCCGGAAACTCAGGAAGTGAGTCAAAGGAAGCCCTTGCCTCCCCCGATTGGCCAAGGAAACGTCCACAAACGAAATTTTTGGTTGAGTCGCAATGAAAACCCGGTATTATAAGATGGTCTACCCAGACCCATGCTTCAAGAATTAAGAAGGCAAAAGGATCTCCGCAGCTATTTGTGGTTGGGAAAACTGTCCCTTACTAACCTTCATCTACCCGAATCGGTTTTGAGCAAGTGGCTCAGTTGAGACACAATCAAAACCTGGTACTAAAATGGTCTACCCAACTTCATGTAAGGAAATTAAGTGGCGGCCGCAACTATTTCTGGCTGGGACTGCCCCTTACTAACCTTCATTTACCCAAGTTTTGATCGTTCCTCAGTTGAAAATCCACCCGGCCCTCGGCCCCCAACGTCCGGCCTCCGACGTCCGGCCAGGCGCAGTGGAACGCGAGGCCGTCAGAGCGGGAGCTTCGGAGCTGTGCGAGGCTCGGGCGCCACAGGCAGCCGTCCAGGTCAAAGGCCACAGACCTGCCGTGGAACTCGGAGAACTCAGACGGAAGGGCCATTTTGGCTGCGGGTGAAAACCAATGGGATCCCATTTTGGGGTAGGTGCATCAGCCATTTTAGAACCTATTTTAGTGGGGATTGGGATGTTCACTGGGGGCACGGGATGGCTGCGGCTCAGAAAAACCAAGGAATTCCAAAATGGGTTGCCCTGGTAAGTGGAGACATGGGTACCAAAACCTGCGGTTTGCCCCTCCGGTTTAATTTTGAGCCACAGCCATTTTAGTTCTCCCTTAAGCTTGGTCGACGTTGGATTTGGGGAGGAAACAATGTGAATATTTTGGGCAGTTAAGTGGTTGGATTTCAACCACTAAACCACAATAAGCAAATTGTAACATGTTTCCCAAGAACAACCATATAAACAAACAGGGTAGGACTCATGGAGACTTGGTTCACTTTCGGCCTGTATCACTGTGACCACTTGCAAAAGGGTTTGAAGCCCTTCGGCCATTCTGCCAACCACCTCAAAAAGGCATGTGCCTACTTAAAGGGGCAGGGTAGCAAGTGGCTACTAAACGCATGAGACCCGCACATTGGGTGGTTTTGCCAGTGCCAGTTTAGCTTGCGATCGGTGCGAGAGAGGGAATGAGAAATGGAATGACCTCTATAAACCAGCCAACTGGTGGCTTCCTTCGAGGGAATCCCCAAACGGTTCATTCGCACAACCCTACTAAGCAACAGCAAGTTCTGGCCTAAACAAACGCGTGAGACCCACAAATTGGTTGGTGTTCAGTGGTGTGCAGTGCCAGTTTAAAAGTCACCCGGAAAAGCTTAATTCCGATCGAGTGATAGCCCACAAAACATAATCACACTGGTTCACACCCGAAAAGTATAAAAAGTTCAGGAACTCAGCAATTGAGCAACCTAGGCTACAACCCACTCATTAGTTCCCGTGACGGTACCCCTGTTAGTGGGTTGTACCCCAGCGAACCAATAACCAACCCTGAACATGCAAGAGTCCTGGCCGAGTCCAAAAGTCCAGTTCTTTCGGTGTGCCCCAGCCATTTCCAGGGATCCGGATCTGTTTCACAGGGGCAACCCTAAAGCGGGCATATTCCTAAGAGAACGGGTGAAGCGCGTTGGGTCAGCCAGTAAAAAGGTTTGGTCGAGCTCGCCAAAGAGACGAGTAAAAAGGAGCGAAGTCCTACATCATACTTGGGGATCCCTTGTTTATCGAGAATTTGCAGATTTGGGTTGCTGTTGACCCCTCTGCAAAAAAAAAAACCTTTTTGTGGGTTTAGTGGCAAGCCCAACTTGATTTCTCAAAAAGTTAAAGTCTAAAGATCCAACCCAAAAGCAGTCAAGCAAATGGCCCTGCGAAGTGATACTGCCAACCCCCAGCTGAGAACCCCCTTTTTGGCGCCGCAATTTTTGGGAGGATCATGTTTGGGGCTGGTTTCAAGGGAACCAGTTTGGGGCTCCCCTAAAAAAAAGACAGACCCATGTTGATTTCAATGCTCCCTGACAACTAGGACCCTCCGGTGGACCCCCCTTTTATTCGCTAGCTAGCGGGTCGGCCCAACTTGGCTTTGCTCGATTCGGCATTTCGTCACGTGTCCGGTGTAAACTTATCCCAATTCCCTGGAACATCACACCCGCTGTTTCTTCACACCACCAGTTCAGGCATACATACTATACATGTATATAATACAGTGCATTTGTCTACAACAATATGCGTCGTAATACATATTCTTTTTAGGGGCCTGTTTTACGTTTGGTTGCCCCTCAAGCCCCAACAACGGGGAGCCCCACAAAAAGGCAATCCACCCGTCCTGCCCATGCGCGCCTCGGCCGCGGGACCTAAAGAAGAAGCTCTGGGCGCCCCCACAAGCAAAACTTGCTGGTGCTCAGCAGGGAATGATCGATGGACCAATAGAAATAAAAATGTGATTATAACATATTATAACACATCAACAAACAAAATCAATAAATCACAGAACCAGAAAACAACAGAAAGAAAACGACACATATTCTATAAAGGTGCGACTCACTGTCAACCGTATCCCGTGCTCAACCTGTGCTACAGGAAAACCAGAATACGCCCAATCTGGAGAAAGTCACGCCGGGGAGTCCCCCATTTGGAGCAAAACCCAGTGGATGCATTGGACCTGGCCAAGTTCCTACCACTCCCAACAGGCCAACTGGAAATAACGACTCCAGCAAAAGGACCTTCATAGGCACCGAGCTCATTTTGCAACCCCAAATCGGACAACTAAGTCGCCCGGACGAGCTTTAAGCGCACACAGAGGCTTACCTCCTGGATAGCTCAACTCTTGGTGACCCTTTTGGTGTCCTTCGGGAAATTGGATGGATTTGCCCGGAAAATTTGGTCATGAAACCAATTTAAACCAGTGGAACCCCATCTATGTTCGACCAACCTAAGCTAAAAAGTACACCTACCGTGCATGGACAAAATCCTGCACCACTGTGAGACCATTCTGTGTTAGTACTTCCAGAAAATCATTCAAGGGATTCTTAGGTGGTACGAAAATGAGCAACCAGCCGGTGGAACCTCCAGCCAACGCGCAACAGGAGGGGTGGGAGGAGATGTGCCCACCACCACTCAATCCTGCGGAGCTTTGGGCGCTGCTGAAGCGCTGCCTTTCGGCGCAAACGGCGCGAAAGGCGCGGCAGCGGCCACTAGGATGAGCCTCGGAAAATCGACATGAGAGCGGTGAAAATGCACGGTGTCGGTAAAGGACATAGAAAAACTAGTGAGGGACATGGTCTTTGTGGTACAAGTGATTCCCGCAAGTCCCTCTTGGACCATAAGCTACTCAATTGATACTTTGACCAAGCCTCGTGTGAGCAAGGAGCCGGTTGGTCCCAGCCCAATCTAGATATTGCAGGTAGGGAAACAAGCTGGAAACCCTGGGAAGCGAAAGTGGCTAGCAAGGTTGATGAATTCTCCGAGCTTGTTTGTAAGTGTTATTGAACCAGCCGGTAGAACCTCCAAACAGAAACGGGCAACGGGAGCTTTGAGAACATAGTGCCATGACCAGAACTTGACTGACTCACCCTCACAAAGAACCGAACTTGGCTTGCGCTTTCTGAGGCTTGCCACAGGCCAATGCGACAGGCGTTGACGCTTGGGGTTCATTGGTGGAAGTGGTTTATAGTTTCTAGCGTCCATGAAAACTCCTGTGCAGGGTCGATTCATGGCATTTGCGGTCTCAGGATTGGAATCCTTATGGGTGTGGGTCAAGAGGGGCCCTTATCAGTATTGTCAAAAGTATCGTATCCATTACAAAAGCACAAGGATGATGGAATCGATTGACCCTCGTCGCATGTTCTGCGGATACTGTGGATGGACGAAATCCTGAACCACTTTGAAACCATGGGAAACCATCTTTTGGTTGGTATTTGTGTTGGGGAATCGAATCAGAAACTAGGGTTTCTGAACGTTGCTGGACTTCGCAACCATCCACAGTATCACACTCTAGGCCTCTCTAGGTGAAACCGGCCTCTCTAGGTGAACTGCAAGTGTTCCCTCTAGGGCAAAAAACCCGATACTCTGAAAAGATCTCCTTAGCTGTAAAGCATAGTATCTATACCCTTCCTCCCACTAACATAGCATTTGTGGGAGGGCACCTGGAAGAAGAATTTCCTCAAGAGACCGGGTCCCTGTCAGGTGCCATGTTCGTAGGGGTTCGTGAGCTGAGTGTTGGCACAAACATTCAGATACACGAAGGCGAACACAAAACTGATGAACTCCGCGGAAGGCTGCGCGAGCGATATCGTATAGTCAATACATGTTTGTTTAATACATATATATATATATATATATCTATGTAATGTATATATACATATATATATATAATGTATATATATATATACCTGGAGTCTCCGTGACCCTTCGTTTTTCGCCCTTTTGCCGTGACCCCATTTTTTGGGGGTCACGGGTGCAAAAAAAGGCACTGTGACACAAAAAGGGGTCACATGCGTCTCCTTCCTGCTTACCAGTAAATGGATAGCGCCAGGAGTTGTGATCTTTAAATGAGTGCAACCAAAAAGAAAGCTGCCAGAGTCTGGCTTTGGACACGGAACTTATGCATGTGTTCTGGGGTTGTTGGCATGTAATGCTCGTCTGCTCACTTAGTAGCTGCGAAAGATGAACTTACACCAAGCTTGAATCATGCTGGGGTAGTCAACTTTTTGTAGTAAAAGTCTGGTGCGCGAAGTACAGGGTTCCAACTGCTCGAAAATCGCAGCTTTGTAGCACAAGTCTAGCACCAGCTGGGAAAATCGCAGCTTTGTAGCGCAAGTCTAGTACGCGAAGTCTTTCACGGATCCTTCGCGGATCTTGGCTGAAAATCGGCCAGGTGATTTTGACCTTCTGCGGCTGGAGGTCACAAAAGAGTTCGCAGTCAGAAATGAAGTTGCCCACATATTCTGGAAATCGAATGCACGCTTTCTTGCCTGGCACGCTTTTGCCCGCAGTCTGCGGAAAAGCTTGAAAAAGCATTGCGTTCGGCTGCTGCTCTCAGAGCTGTCTGTCCGAAAGGCTCCCGCCATACAATCTGTGGTTGTTCACCTTCAGAAGCACGTGGATTGGCTTCATGCCGCAACACAAGCAGTTTTCCACAATGGATAGGCCGCGGTCCGACACAAGTAGCTTTTGCACCTCTGGAAAAGAAGCCTTTGCTGCCTTGGCCAAGCGTTTGCGCAGATTGCGCAAAAACGCCAAAGCTGCGACCGCTTCAAACTGTAGCGAGCAATGCAGTGCTTCGGGCACACTTTGTCACGCGCAACGAAGGAGTTTTTGCCAGTAGGCGAGCTATTTGCTTTCACGCAAAAAATGCGACAGCAGGCGTGCCAGCACGAGCGTGTACGTTGACATGAGCTTGGGTGTCACAGCGAAATTACAAGCAGCGCGGTCGCTCCCACACTGTGGTCAAACTCGTTCAACTCCAGCGCGCCTAGGTGCACGTCGTGAACTATAGTGACAAATTCAGAGCCACTGCAGTGAACGGAGCGGTCACTCCAACGATGCGGACACAACGAGGGACGAACACAGTAAATTATATACGCACGTAGGCGCACTCCGGCACGCAAGTTTTTTATTGTCAGCCAGAACATGGGCACGGGGCCAAGCATTGAACACGAAGCGTCAACGCCAGAACTATCCTTACATGTGCCGTGAGACTAAGTGCTGCACAAAATCAGTTGCAGCCCCAACTCAACACTGAGCGCGCAGTTTGTCGAAGGCAATCCCAAATTTGCTCCCTCTTCAGCATATAAGGGCAAAAAAGGCCCACAGAACAAAAAAAGGGTACAAGCTGCGGACGCGTCCTGGACGGACGGTTTTTTCCGCCTTTTGGACGGGTTTTTACGCCTATTGGACGGCTGTTTTGGGACCCTCAAAGTATGCCAAAGCAAGAATGGGGTCCAGCTGGACTGGGTGGACGGTTGCGCAGACGACGGACGGACGGCGGTCGGACGGACGGACAGACGGCGGACAGATAGCTGACAGAAGGCTCCAAACAGTTTGCCTTTCAGCGGTTGCAACCTTTGAGCGTGTTTCACTATCAAATCGTCACTCGAGCCGGAAAGTCTCGGAAAACAACATTTCAGATGCCCCCAGTAGATTTGCAAGAGTAGCCAGGCCAAGGCCCGTTTCAAGCTGTTGCTTGCCTAGAGGTGGCTCAACACAAACACACGTTGTGAAAAGATTCCGTCGAAGGTAATGTATGCAAATAGCCTTCGTTAAACGCATGTAGCCTTTTGTAGCTATACCCTTGGTAAAATTATATTACCTCCATCACCGCACCGCACCTCCCAGAAAGCATTTCAGAGCCAAGGCCTAAAGGACTCACAAGCGCTTGCTTTCTTCAAGTGGCTGTTGAAGAAACAAACTGGTGGGCGCCAGGCCTCGAAAAACTACACTTGCCGCCTGCAAGCAAAAAGCTTAGGTTTTTGTCGGCTTGGCGCCAGCCTGCGCAACGGTGTCCGTATATTGTTAAGCGTTCAGTAAATGCTTACAGGCAAGCGCGTGGGCTTTGGGCAAATGTGGCTGATGAATACACTTAAGCAGATGTTGCTTGATAGGTACAAGCTGTGGCGTCGCCATACATGGAAAAAGACGTTTGCTTAAGGCAACATATTTGGCTAACATTTTTAAAAAGGCCCCACCGAGTTGCTGCGGTGTGTTAAATTCCTTTTTTTTGCACAACATATCTACTTGTCGCAGTCTGCACAAAAAAAAAGGTCACATTGTTGTGACAATGAAAAAAACCCTTTTCGCACAATAATGCCATTTTGATACTATGACCCCAAAAATAAAGGTACAACGGAGACTCCAGGTATACATATATATATATATATGTATTTACAGGGGTTTTGCCTACTCAAAGCCACTTCCACGCGAAGGCTATTGCCTACACGGAGCAGGTGTAAAAAGAACATCTGCCTAAATGAAAGCCCTCCGAGGATCTCCCCCAACATTTGGTGGCGCGAATGCGAAGAAGGGCCATGGTCCGAGTTCCTTTCTACCAGGGGACCCTTCACACGATTTTGCGGCATGGGTGAGGACTGTTCGCCCAGGCGGCAAGCTTTGCAGCCCATCCTGTGCTGGAACCCCAGTAGTCAAAGCAAAACCTTTTGCTTCAAGCCAAGGGAAACTCCCATAATCTGGATCAACATGGGGGCTTCTCAAGAAAGGGGACCTTTTTTGGATGTGGTTTTTGCCAGGGAAACCCAAAACGGAAACCAGCTACCCGGGTCTTGAAGTTTGAGAGACACCCAGACACGGGTCCAATGGTCACTTTCTGGCGGTGTCTAAGCTCGGTTGCGAAATCTGCTCCCCTGCTAAAAGTTTAACTTTTAGTGGTTTAATGGGAAAACCCATTAGTTGGCAAAAAGTTAAAGTCCTAACATCCAAGCAAAATGCACCCAAGTAAGGGAAACTAAAGCGCGCAACGGACAATTTAACAACACGGCGCTCCGATCTTAGCTGAGGCTGTAGCATGCGGCGCATCGAGTCAAAGCTGCGGCGTCGGGCGTTGGACATTTTCAGCGTAGATGTTGTTGCAATCAGTGCGCCATCAACTCCTTCGAGCGGAGTTTTGAGTCCTGACCGGCTTTTGAAAGCAGCACAAACCTATCTGCTGCCTTTGCCAGGTCAACCATCAAGTGTTGGACACCTAACAAATAATCACATAAATCATGGGTTGCCCGTGGTCACTGGGATTCAGCTCTTCCAAAGGACCTCCGGCAAAGGGTCCTGGAGGGCCGTTTTGGTTCCTGTTTAAACGTATTCTCTGGTTGGGTTCCATGTTCAAATTTGCTCGGTGAGTCCAACATGTCTTTGGCAAAAGCCTCAGCGGCACGCGTTGACTTGGCTCATATCTTCCAAGGCGTGTCTCGGATGTGGCCCCCATTTGAGCATGACGTCTGCGAGTCGACGAGCGATCTTCCTTGCCTGGCCATTGCTTTGCAGCCGGACTAGTCGCCATTCGCCGGGTCGTGCTCAAACCAAAAAGCAGAGTTGTAAGCCCACTAATCAACAGGCACTTCCCGCTTTCAGGTCGCATTGAACAGAAGACCTCTCTGTTCTCGAAGAAACTGGTGTTCCAAAAGTACTCCTCATGTCAACCCTGAGCTTCGAACCATTTAAAACACTGGGGGTATATACAAAACCATTGTTTACCTAAGGAGTGTCATCATCCAAATTTGGTCCACCATTCTTGTACTGGAAATTGAGCCATAGAGGCAATGTACGTTGAAGGGCACGTGCAGCATCATATCAAAGCTGAGTGAATGAAAATCATGTGCTGACCAGAACTGGGAACCCTCCAAGAAGGAAATCATGCGTCATGCATCATAAAGCCGAGTGAATGAAAATCATTTGCTATGAACTAGGAACCCTCCAAGGAAATCACGCGTCATGGGGTCACTGTCGAAAAATCTGAAGACCACGTTTTGACTCGACCAGCATGTTACTTGTGTGCCTAAGTTGACCACGGCGAGCTGATCCAGTCCCAGGCTGGAACTCGGAAATTTCTTCTGCCCCTTCCCCGCCAGAGGAAACTCGATCGCTTTGATCTAAAGGCCAAAGGGAGCGAAAAGGGCTTGCAAGTGCACCACTGAATCAACTTCCACCGCTCCCAGCGGCTTATTAGCTGGCAGTTCATTGGGGACGGTGTGGCGATTGAGCCAAGATATGCGAGGGATCTTGCCGATTGGCTTGATCAACTTAGTTTGCCTTGCCATCGCAACCCTCAAACTGAGTCACAATCATGACCCACACAGCGCTGAAAGGATGTGCTCGTCAAAGGTTGCTGTTTTTGGGGAGGTTCCTATGAACATGCCACTGTTGGAGCTCCAAAAGTCGAGTTCCGCTAAGCATGCCGAGCACTCAGCACCGCCTTTTCTGCCAGCAGGAGTTTCACGCCAAGTCCTTCATTTGCATGCCTTTGGCATGGCAAATGCAAAGAGTTTGGTGAATTCGAGAAATTCGTTGCATCCCAGAGGACTCCACCAACTTTTACCTCTGGCCCCGACAATACCGAAGGTATCTGCAGATTCTGCTTCATATTCAATGGACCTCGAAATGCAAAAGATGGTAATGAAGATCCCAAAGGCTGTCTTGGCAGCTTGTCTCGCTAGAAACAAACATGGCTGACTATGGAAGCCATGCCAAAGGTGGGCCTTCTGCGAATCTTGATCCTCTGGTTGCCAAGGGCTATGCGGTTGCCGCATGCCGGAGTCTCTGTCGAGGAATAATGGAAACACCGGATGTGATTGTCCCTTGTACCCTTCAACAACGCCGTGGGCTCCCGACATACATGCAAACATGATATCTTCGCACATGTGTTTGAGTCCAACTAGACCCGGGAGAGTGAGCGCCCGTGCCATGTTTTTTCCCCCCCGCAGAGCATCTCGCCGTGGGTCTTGGTCCTAGGCGGCTTCCAAGGCTCCGAAGGCCGCGTACATCGAGTCGCGGGGGTTGCGCGGGGAGTCCACCGACTGCTCGAACTGCTCGGCCTTGCTGGGCCAGGCGGCGCAAATCCTCGGGGTCGATCGAGCGACTTTTTGATTTCGTCAAAGCCCTGGCTTCGGCCCACAAGGTGAGATTGGCATGCGCTTGGGTGGCTGTAAAGGGAAACGGGCCTGTGGGGGTTCATGTCTTTGAGAGAATCCTTTTTGGAGTGGCTTTAAAGGGAAACGAGAGGACAAGCACAATTTGTGGGGTCTATTTTGAGACAGACTCATAACCGGCAAACCCTCAGTCAGTCACTTCGACCAGATAACCCCTTCTCGAGCCTATCTGGGCCTATCAACCCCCCAAGCTTCCAGCTGTTGCGGAACTACCCTATGGACTCTTTGGTCGATGTTAAAACGGTGCTTTCCCTTTGGTTTCTCTTAAAAAACACCAAGCAAACAACATGCAAAACAGCTCAGAGTGTTAATAAAACACACCGAACAAACCAACAAAAAACAAAAAAACACCACCAGAGGTCGAGTCGAGTGTCAGGTCCACCCCATTGTCGCCCTTGCGGCAGCGGTAGCGCTGGAACCGCAACTTCCGCGCCAAGCGCATGATGAACTTCTCCACGCCGTCGTAGCTTCGGCGCCTGCCGGCCAGCGGCAAGGGGAAGTGAGTCACAACCAAAACCTGTTACATTGCTTTACCCGGGCTTTGATTGCGGCCCATGTGTGTATTCATTTATAACATACGAATAATGATCCAAGTACTAACTAAATATTACGCTTTTCCTTCGAATTCAGGTGACTTAGGTGAGTCACAATCAAGACCTGTTACAAAAATGGTGAACCCAGAGCCATGTAAAGAATTACACACGCAAAAACAAATTCGGCTGGGACTGGTTTTGATTGTGGCTCAAATGGGTATGGGCCAAAATTAAACCACCAGAAATTGGACCGCGGGTTTTGGTCCTTGTTTCCACTTAGCAGGGCAACCCATTTCTGGGGTTACCCTGTTTTTGACAACCGAGCCCAAATGGAGAAACGCCAAAAGGGCACGAAGATATCACCAAACAAATAAGTCTAGCAAAGGCGGTGTGTTGGCAAGCTCTCGCGTACGGGCCGGGAACGGGTGATCAGTCTTGTGAACCCTTCATGCCAAAACTTTTCTCTTTCAACCCCCAATTAAAAGAATGGGTGACCCAAATTGGATGCTGAAAGTCCATAGGCGAATAATGGTGATTGTATTAACCCCCAAAACAACACCCTGAGGTTCAACTTGCCGATTTTTATTCAAAGAATGGCCCAAGGGGACCCAAGTTGGATGAAAGTCCCGAACGGCAAATCTTGGCGGTTGCTCGGTTGACGTTGGAAGAGCAAAATTCTAAATTTTAGCAATTAAGTGGGGCTTTCCCACTAAGCCACAATAAGCAAAAATGAAAAATGGTTCGCAACGACAACCATGGTTCTGCTAACCCAACCTTAAGGTTTTAATGGTGAAATGAGCCCCGGGGTATTGACTCAAAAGGTAGGCGTTGGGGAAGCATGTCCAGTGTGGTGTTTTTTGCTGACTCGCTTTTGAGAAATACCTTGTTGTTTTTTTTGTTTTAAGCAACCTGGAGAAGGGTACCGAGAAACATACACACACACAATCAACACAGACATACATACATACAGACACAGACACACAGACACACACACACACACAAACACCTATTTTTTGGGGGGCAGCCGTACATCTGTCCAAAATCGTAGTCGTGACTGAACACTCCCCCTCGCCTTTTGCCGCGGGCGAGTGGGGAGGAAGACAGGGATGGATGGAACAAGGTCCACTATAAAAAACACTGCAGTCTAGAATATGAATATGTTACATCAGGGTCAAACCAGGTGGCACAAATCCAGGTAAGTCGGTATGTAAGGGGGATGACCACACTAGCATGGGGCGGGTTGCCCCATCTACTTTCACTCATACGTCTGAAAGCTGGGACTGTCCCCCTATATAGTAACTAGGTCCTCCAGTAGAGAGGTTAGAATGAGGGTACCCTTTTTCTGTAGTCTATGTTAGTAGGGGAACCCTCCCCCCAAAAAAGGGGAGAGAAGGGCACTGCTGGGGGACCTAGGTAAGCCTTCATCTGAAGGGAGCTGGGTGACCCAATGCCGGATCAGCAACTGCAGAGAGGCAAACCATGACTGGGCTGCCCTCAGATCCCCCGCTAAAAGTTCAACTTGTAGTGGGCTAAATGGAAACCACCACTAGACACTTAAAAGGCTAAAAAGCTAAGGGGATGGCTGGGAGCCACTAAGATTATCTTGGTTGTAGGGAGCAATTCATGCACATGCTCAAACTTATGAGTTACTAAGATGCATAGTTCATTTTAGGTAGTGCTTCATTGACTTCAAATCTGTGAATTGCATAACTGCATAACTTGAAGGAAGACTCTGCGCGCAAACCGGGGATCCTGAAACGCTTTTTGTGAAGCTCATGGACTAGAGGAACAAAAGCAATGGATATATGGTTTTCGAGCGAGCGGGTGCAAACTGCTGATTTTTGTAGTCGTCCATTCACAAAATGGTTGTATATTTGCCCGGTGGAGAACTGGTTGCACTTCTTCTGAAAAAAAAATGGACAACTAAAACAAGCACTGCAAACAGCAGGGCCCGAAAACGCTTGAAATGGGACCACGATAGAAATCAACCGATTTGTTAATGCTGGGCTCCCTCTCATTACCCTCTTTCCAACATGGAATTGAGCAGCGGGACCGTTTTCAGATGATGGTACTCCAATAACTCCTGTGCACTTTGATTGGAATGAATAATGATTCATAGCACAATTCAGAGAACGCAAGGCAAAAGCCGACTGGAAAGCCTATAGGTGACAAGTTGGATGGATTCTAGCAAATGGAATCTAGGATGCTACGCATAATCTATCCTGTGGTGCAAGCGATCAGAACTCGTTTAATTGGAGCTTGTTCAACGGGTCCACTGAGAAGTTTACCCTGGCAATAGGGTTCAAAGAGACATCAACCCCAGAAGTCATCGAATTTGAGAACCACACCAAATGCAACCACTTTAAGGGATCTAAGTAAGTCATAATCACACCCTCTTGTCAAAATGGTCTACCCAACACCATGCCGGAGAATCACAAGGCGGCCCCACCAACTTATGGTTACGCTCTCTAACACGGATTTTGCTCATGGTCTACCCCAATCCATGTAAGGAAACACAAAGGGCGCCGCACCTATTTCTGGCAAGGGGATTGTCCCTCAACCTTCATCTACCCGGGCTTTGATTGCGGCCCATGTGTGTTTTCATTTACAACAATATTCTTTGGGCTCTCCTCCGCTAAAGGATTAACTTTTAGTGGGTTAAATGGAAACTACCCACTAAACACTAAAAGGCCAAAAGGCTAAGGGGATGGGCTTTTTCTGGAAACTACCCACTAAACACTAAAAGGCCAAAAAAGCTAAGGAACCGGATGGCTGGAAGCCACCAAGTTGCGTTTGTTTCCGGGATTTTACTTGGTTGACGTTGGGTGTGGGGAGCAAAAATTGAATTTGTAGCAGCTCAGTGGTTGGATTTCAACCACTAAACCACAATAAGCAAGAATGCAAAATGTGTCCCAACGACAACCATGTTTAGGTGACTCAAACTGCCCAGTCCCTGGCCTCAGCGCGATCACCGCGTGCCCCTCCGGCGCCAAGATCTTCTCGATGACCTCCACGAGCTGCTCCCAGGACTCGCCGTAGGCGGGCTCGCAGACCACGTCCGCGCACAGCACCTCAGCGGACTCCGCGCCGCCGGCTCGCTCGGCGCGCTGCCGGTGGGGTCGATTTTGCCCAGGGGATTTTTTGTAGGGGCCCGGCAACACAACTAAATACGTGTTGCCGGTTTTGTGGAAAACAAAGGGGACCCCTAAAAAAGCAAAAGAGAAAAAGCGGGGAGCTAGTTCTGGGGAAGAATGGTGAACCCAAAACCCATGTAAAGAGTTACCAAGCGAAAATATCCGGACCTATTTCTGGTCTAGAGTGTCCCTTGCTAACCTTCATCTACCCGGGCTTTGCTTTTGTGGCTCAGTGGCTTTAGGTGTACCAAAACCGGCGGCTTTGCTGAAAAGGGTTCCCCCTAATTAATGGCATGCGAGGTTTATTCACCCACTTTGTTCCACCCTATCACCTTCTATGCTGGCTGAATCTGCTTGTAAGTGTGAGAGTCTCAACAGCGCCCAGATCTAGCCCAAGAGAAACCCCGCCAGTTCAGCGCGTTTGGATTCTGTTTCAAGTCCTGCCAACCCCCTCCCTCCAAAAAGAGAAACAACACACACACGGACTCAAAAGCCCACGCAGTCCAAAGCAGATGATGGGTTTCCCTGGTAGATGATTAAACCAGGTAAACCAGGAATCGAAACCTATCGTTTTTTTTCCGACCAAAACCAACAATTGGACGCCTGTGGCCATGGGTCCCCAAATCCAAATCGTACCCCCAGTGAACATTTCCCAATCCAACCACCCAAATAGGTTCCAACATGGGTGATTTCACCTACCAAAATGGGATCCCAAAACGGGCTTGACAACCGCCATGTTGCTTGGCACCGCAAAAAAGACGACACCTCCGACCCCCGAGGTGTTTTTCTTTTCTTTTCTCTCGCTCAGCCGCGAGGTCGGCGAGCTTTGGGAAGCCGTCCGGTCGCAAGATCTGACCGGGCAGCATGATGAAGCTGTCCTTGGGCTCGATTGCCATAGAACAACTTGGTTGCTGCAACGACCCCCCTGCAAAAAGTTTCTCACTTTTTGCGAGTTTAGTGGAAAGCCCCTTTATTTTCCAAAAAGTTAAAATCTAAAGATCCAACCCAATAGCAATCAAAACAAAAAGGGTGAGCAAACCCACCGCATGCTGGCTTGGCTTGTAGAAAGCAAAGGTTGGCTTTTTGGCCATACCTCAGTACCTCACTACATCCAGCTGTTTTTTGCTTTTTGGCTCAACTACCTCACTGAAAAGGGGTCCCTCTAAGCACAAAAGGGTGCGCTCAACTTGATTTGTTGCATGTTTTGACCGTCTACCATGTGACATGCGGCCGAACCATCAAAAGCATAGAAAGCAAAGGTTGACTTTAAGCCAACTGCTTGTTGGTTTGGCTTTTTGGGTCTGCTGTTGGAGGGTACCCTTTGCACTTTGGGGTTAAGGAAAGCCAAACGGAGAACCGCAATTTTGGAGTTTCCCAGTATTTTGACACATAGATACCCATGTTGACTGCTTTTGGGTCAGGGCTGCAAAGCACTTGGACCCTCAAACTACCCTCATGAACTTGAAGAAATCCGCTCATAACTTGAGGGTAGAATGGTTGACTTTCTGGGTGAACAACCGGTTCCTCAGGAAGCCGTGAATGATTTGGGGGCCTGTTCCAGATAAAGGAAACACAGAAACACCACACTGGACCTGAGATGCACGAGTTTGGTCCTGAAACTGGGATCAAATTTGCAGTATTTGCTGAGAAAAGTCTGGGAAAAATGGAAAATAGTTTGTTTCCCTTTTAACCTAGCACTGGGTGACTTTGATGTTCTTTTCCTGGGGCCCGCGAAAGCCTACGGAAGTCTAGCTTTCCACTCGGAGCCTCAGGGCTTCCATTGGGATCCAGTCGACCCTGGATCCCCGGGTCCATGATGGAACATTGGACTTCACCTGCCTTTCTCGAATCCATAAAGGAGAAAGACTCACCAAAAAAAAACTCCGGGAAAAGCATGGCACTCCCCTCCCAGTAATTTCCCTTACACCCACAGTACGCAAAAATGAAGATTCCGTTTGTTCCTTCACACCCGGGACACACGGGAAGATAAAAGCAAAACAAACGAGAAGAGGACGGGATTAATGCTGAATATCACCCCCAAGGGAAACTTGAGCAAAACTGGGCCAAAAGGTCACGTGTAACCCGAGGAAGCAGAAGGACCAAATCCACAGTATCTCAGCTCGTGCCCCAACTCAAAGCTTCATTTGGATTCTGGTTATAGCGAACCTGAGCATGTAAAGTGATGTCAAAAAGGCCCAGTAGCCCCAGTGTGGTTTCCTTGAGGGAACGATGAAGAACCATGGCATATGTGGCCGCAGGATTTCCTACTTCAAGAGGGTGTTGTGTATTTTCCGCCGCTCTGGTACACATTTCGAACATAGAGGGCTGCCTGGAGTCGCCTAGGGGAAAAGGATTGAAGGTGGTGGCGTGCAATCTGTCCAATCAGGGAAAATCGGGCGCTTCCGGGGCTGCCTAAAATGGACAGTCTGCCAAAACCCTCCTGGCTTCCGTGGTTGGAGGAAGGGCGATCTCCGAAGTTGGGCGACGCTTCTTTAAAAACGCTGACGATGAATCTCACGGAAAGAGAAACGAAAAGGTCAGACATGCTGAAGCCAGCTCCCACGCCTCCCACACCTTCCACCCCTCCCACCCACCCCATTTGATTCATGATTGTTGGAGGGACATGTTTCTTGGTTCTCAACAAGGAATGAATGAAAAACGACCTTTGCGAAACCTCTCTTGCTGTTTGATTTCAGGTAACTGCCTTTTAGTTCATTCTCAGAACTGCTGACTCGCTGCTTGAGTGGATGGCCCAACAAAAGTAACCAAACTGTCTGTTTACCACTACAATGGTCCAAACCCAAAAAGTGACTCAAGTCCAGGAACTCGGGAAGTGAGTGATTCATACTCAAGCTCCGGAGTCAGAGGATTCTTGAGTGCCTTTCCAACACCATTTGGTCAACCCTCCCAAGCTTAACTGCTATAGTATCATAAACCTAGGGGTACCTTCCCCATTCTTTCCAGGCATCCTTCTTTTCAGGCACCCAGCAAAAACCCAGCAGAAACAGCCCGAGTTGTTTTTTCCTTTTTCTAAAGAATGGGGAGTCAACGCCGCCCCTAGAAGCAAGAACGATATAAACCCAGCCACACGTGAGCTGATTCCACCTCCAACCTGGGCATCCCACGGCGCCGCTTGGCGCCTGCGCCGAGCCGCGGATCGCTTGGCCGGGACCTCCGGGCCGACCGGCTGAAGGGACTCGGCCGCGGCCTCAGACTTCAGGCCGGAGAAGTGCGAGCCGCAAACCGGAGATCACACACCGAGCTCAATGTTGCGTCCAGGTGTTTTTGTTTCTGGAAATCGGGGATCTTCGAACATTGATTCCCGTTTTTTTTTGGGAAATCAGCAACCTTCGATTTGAAATTCCAGTTTTTGTCACCATTCTTGGCAAATATTCGCAAATGGGACATGACGAGTGCAAGTTTGCCAAGGAACCTTCACTTTGGGTAGTGTGGAGGTCAGGGGGATTGCTTCACTGGGGGACAGCCCGCCAAACCTAATCCGAACAACTCTTGCTGCAAAATAGTCCCTGAGTGTCCACCATACCGGTTAACGCCTCTTGAGTGGCTTACTTTACTATTCAACCTTGGCAAGGAGGTGGCAGCCATGATTTATAAGTGGGATAGTCCCTCCTGGACGACATGTCGGTGTTTGTTTTAGGGAACCTCGCAACATGCTGGTTTTCCTTTTGGTTTCCCTTTAGAAAGTTACAAAGAAAATGTACACTCAAAAACAAGGCCACCCATGAGGATATGATCATGGCTATAACATGCCTACTTAGCATGTTGAATACGCAAGCAGGGGAGCAGGGTGGAACATCGGGGGAGGGCAGGTTTTGAACAACACACCCTGGACCAACCGGGGCAAGCCCGACACTTGCTGAGCTCATTGGCTAAAAGCGTCGAGCCCCGATAGTCAACTAGGTCCTCCAGTAGAGAGGTTAGAATAAGGGTACCCTTTTTTCCCGTAGTCTAAGCTTCTAGTAGGGGAACCCTCCTCCAAAAAAGGGGTGAGAAAGGGCACCACTGGGGGACCTAGTCAAATTGGTGTCGATCTGGAAGTTCAGTCAGCGGATTTACAGGGCAACTCCCCGGCTGAGTTGCATCCTTTCCAAGAGAGGCTGTCCAATCAACCAGAGTTTATCAGTGAAACGGGTTCCAATTGTCCAGAAGCAAGAGACCCCTACCCTAAGGTCGGTTTGAACCTTGTCTCCCTTTGAAGCCCGATCAAACAAAATCCTTTTCCCAGCTGAGGTTACCCTCAGCCTACTTTGGCGCCTCAGGCTGGCTCGCTCAGACTCAGAAATGGACCACCGGGCCTGGAATCCTGTGATATCCCAGCATCAGGAATTGCAAATTTAAGCCAGCCAAATTCAGCCAGATTCAAAGGTTCAGAGAAGCTCAAACCATATGGATAGAATTGTACCAAGCTTAAATCCCTGCCAAGCACCACAGCTCTTACTGATTGAACAATCTCAACAACATACTTTTCTTTATTTATACCAATCTCAATATAAAGTGCTCCATCAGACATGTTTTTGAAAAAGGGGGACAAACAAACGCTGCATCTCTGGAGTGCGCAAATCCACGGTCCAAGCTCACAGGGCCCTTCTGACGTCGGAGACGGACGCGGGAGCGGGGAGCAACGCATCGAACACAAATTTGCTGTGGATGCACCAGGATTTTGTGCGCAGCCCGAATCAAAGGGCGCCATTCCCCCCTCTGATTCCTTATGCGGGCCCTGATGGCAAACAAAGGCTCCTGAGAGGATTGGTCATGAAACAATCCAGACTCTCGCTTAGCAATACAACATGAGCTTCAAACAACAAATGATAAGAGGCCACCGTTTCTAGCTACAAGTTGTGACCTTCCAACTCGAGTCTTCGTCAAAACCCTGCGCCGAGAACACGAGCTTCGGGGCCTCCAGCTCATCCACTCGGCGCATGAGGCTCAAGGCATCGTTCTCGTCCCAGCGCAGGCCCGTGACGATGAGGGAGCCGTGGCCCAGCGTACCCTTCGCCTTTTTTTGTCTTTCTTCTTTTCTTCAGGACCCTGAGAAGAGACGGTTTTTGCATTGCACTGGGTGCGGGCGCCCTTTCTTTTGATGGATGTCACGCCATTTTTTGAGCCCCCTCGCATACCAACAAAAATCCAAAAGAAATCCCAGTCCGTGTTTGAGGGTACTCGGTTTTGTAGTTTGAGGCTACCCCTGATGCGGTGGGTTTTAAGGGGAAGCCAAAAGTAAGATCATTCTTGGGGTTCCCCATTGAATAACATAGGACACACCAAACTTTGCTTGAGCAACCTCCTTTTGGTGTCCGTGTCTTTTTAAGGGGACCGCCCCTTTAACAAATTGTTGGTTTCCTTTTGGTCCCGGTTTAAAACCCACTATTGACCATTGTCAAAGTCACCCCCTAAGTGATTGTTAAAGGGAAACACCCCCAATTGCTGACTTTGACCACCCCCCGATACAGTCAATCTCCAGTTGCCCCTGAAAAAAATGACATGTGTCCAGTATGGTGATAGATTCCATGTAAAACTGACCAAGAAAGAAAGAAAATAAAGAAAGAAAGAAAGAAAGAAAGAAAGAAAGAAAAGAAAAGAAAGAAAGAAAGAAAGAAAGAACGAAAGAACAAAAGAAACTTGGCTGTGTCCCTTTGTTGTCCCTTTAAAACCAACAAATATCCCCGCCCCCGCCCAAAACAGAAGAAGAGAAAACAAAATCTAAGAAACCTTTTGAAAACCCAGAAGCAATCGAGGGAACCCAACAAGGGAAAATAATAACAAACAACTTGGTTTGATTCCTTTTGGTTTCCCTTTGAACCAAACAGAAATTGGGGGGGGGGGACCAACTGCTACCAAAAGGTTGGTTTCCTGTTGGTTTCCCTTGAACACCTAGAAAACCCCTGGAGAACCCTGGAAAAAAACACTAGAAAACCTCTAAACAAAAAACAACTAAAACCCTCGAAAACCCCTAGAAGAGCAATAGAAGAAAATACAAAAAAAGAACAACAAATAAGGGAAAACAAAAACAAAACTAGAAAACCTCTAAACGCTAAGATACACCTAGAAAACACCTAGACAAGTCCTAAACAGAACCCTTGAACAAGCCTAGAAAGCCTGTAGAACCTTGGAAAAACCAAAACAACTAAAACATTGCCAGAAGAACCCTAGAAAACCTCTAGGTCCTCCAGTAGAGAGGTTAGAATAAGGGTACCAACTTTTTTCAGTAATCTATTTTAGGGGACTCCCAACACAAAAAGTTGGGTGAGAAAGGTTGCACCAATTGCTGGGGGACCTAGTTACAATTACCGGCAGATTCAGGTTCAAAACACATGAGAACCCTGGCTAACCTCCGGCGCCCTGGTCGCCCCATCCGCTTTCTCCCGGCTTTCCTCGAAGAACCCTAAAACACAAAACGCCGAGGAAATAGCCTCGAAGACCCCCCGTCGCCCTTCAAAATAACATCTAAACACCTAGAAAAAGCCTAGAAAAAGCCTACAAAAAGCCTAGAATAAGCCTAGAAAACCTCTAGAACCCTAGAAGAACCCCCCAAAAAAAACGGACTCCCCCGTCGCCCCGTCGCCCCATCTTTGGGTTTCTCTCGCTTTCGCCTTCTGCGCCGGGGGCCGCAGCTCCGTCTTCACCAGCAGCGGCTTGATGCCGCTGGGCCGCAGCAGCTGCACCCAGCCCTCCGTGGGCCCGGTGCCCGTCATGCGCCGGTAGCGCATCACGTTCCTCGGCTCGAACGCAAGGGGCGGCTTGGCGTCTTCTGCGGGCCTTCTAAGGGTGGTCTAGTTTTGTTGGCGGGTGTTTCTAGGTTTGCTAGGGGGCTTTCTGGGTGTTGGGTGGGTGAAAGTCATGGAATCGCCGTGGTTCCGGGGTGGTTCTAGGGTGTCTAGATTTTGTTCAAGGGTTTGTCCAAGGGCTTGTCCAAGGGTTTTCTAGGGGTTTTCAGGTTTTCTTGTTTCGAGAAGCTTTTTGGTTGGGTGAAATTTATGGCTTGGGAGCGGGATTTCAGCTTCACTCTACTGGGGTCACGAGTTTGACGGTAACTTACCATTTCTCTGGGGGTACCTTCCTGGCTTTCAGTTGAATCCCCTTGTGTTTTGAAAGACGACAGGAAACCCGGTATTTAGAATTACCAGGTGTTTCCTAGAGGTACCATCCACGTCCATTCTTTCCACAAATCCGAATCTTTCTGGAAAACCCGAGGACACCCAGGGAAAATGGGTGGTTAGTGCAAAGAACGATGGTTGAAACGAATGGAAAAGGAATCAACCCCTAGAGTTTGGGATGGGTGAACTTTATGGTTTGGAGCGGGCTTTCAGGAGGTGAGACGGGTGGTTCATTTACCGGTTCAAGGAACTTGGGTCGGTACTGATGGCTTGCTTGGCTTTCCTTGCCGCATGCTTCTTCACCTGTGGTCTCCCCTTCAAGGGCCGGGGGGGGTGGGGGGGTGGGGGGGGGGGTGGGGGCATAGGTCCTCGCAGATCAGCGTGTGCCGTCTACCGGGTGCTTGGGTTAGGGGTTGAGCTGTGGGGTCTAAACAAATCGAACCCTGTAAGTCAGTACTTTGAGTTGTCCTTGGTGTCTTGGGTTGTTGGACATGAGGGAGTTTTGGTTTGTCATTGCGTCCACAAGCTCAACATCACTTTTTCCAGTGGTTCTGTTTCTGGTTAACATCACCGACTAAATAGTGTCTGCGTGTGTTTGGTTGTTTTCTGAGTTGAGCGTCCTTTTTTCTTTTTGGTTTGGGTTGCTTGGCTGGTATGTAGGTCTGGAAGTTGTGGTCACTTGGTTGGTGGTGCGGGGGAGCTTGGCTATCTTCCCATTTTGCCCCCCAGTTCAGATGCTCGAGCTCCCCGTTTAAGTCACCCTCCACAGTTGTGAGATTGCTTGGTCCCATGCAACCCACCCAAACGGCCCTCTGCACCCCAAAAACCTTGCAAACCACCAACCAAAGCTTGCCTGATGTGTCCTTTGGGGTTCACGAACGACGCCAAAGACAGCAAGTTGTTTGTCAATAAAAAACCCCAACAAAAGCGGAAGCAAATTCCACATGTGACTTTGCAAAATTATCAGCCGCGGTTTCAAACATTGGGACAAGCCATCAGTCCGTCGAACAATGAGGGACGCCTCTGACTGTTTATTTAGTGCACAGCATAGGGACAACTCCTTCTTTAGTTGTTGTTTCATCAACAAACTGCGGCATGTGATTGTTAAGTGCCCAAACTTGTGATGTTCACTTGTCCGAACTATATAGTTGTTGGGGTTCAACCCCTATTACAAGAATGGCAAGGACCCAGTTTGGATGATTAGCTCCTGAAAGGTAAATCATGGCTCTTTTTTCCCAACCTTTGCTCTAATGGTGTGAACCCCAGGGTAGTAGGGAACCCCTACCCCAACAAAAAACAAAACAAATGGTGTTTGATCTGGCGGAGTGTGGCTGCTGTTCTTCTGCAATTGGCTGCATAAAATTCCATGCCAACCATGCCAACGGCTTGGCACACGCCCTACAAATATGCTCAGAGTATGTTTCATATATGAGTGTCTTTTTGAGGTTGGACCCCAACATGGCTTCGGTTCTCATTTTGGTAAAATAAACACATAAATAAAACACAAGATTGATATTGGTGTCGGGTTTCCTTTTGGTAAGCAAAACCAACAACACATACATTCGTCTACCCCAAAAAATTCGTCGAGGCGCATGTCGCGCTTGAGCTCCAGCTCTTCCACCAGAGCACCTTGCGACAGCTTCTCCTTCTCGATCTTCCCGCCCCGCTCCTGGCTCGCCCGCGGGAACAAGATCTCACAGATGTCCGGTGGTGAAATCGATTCCCATTAAAACCAACTAGGTCCTCCAGTTGCTTGAGGTTAGAATAAGGGTACCAACTTTCTTCTGTAGTCTATTCTAGTAGGGGAACCCTCCCTCAAAAAAAGGGGTAAAGGGGCACTACTGGGGGACCTAGCCAACAAGAGAAAATGAAACCTGATTCATTTCAGCAAATGGGAGGGGCCAGGACCTCCACCTGGCTTGGTTCTCCCAAAAAGGCGGGGTTGCCACCTTCAAAGACCTCGTCAGGTTCCGTTGGATTAGTGCGGGCTGCAACATGTCTCAGTCTGACGATCGTGCGGGTGGATTCCCGTGAAGAAACTTTCCTAGCGATTCTTAGATAGTTCTGAGACCCTTTCTGGGGCTAGAGGGGCTAATGTCTCTCCTGCGGGGAATTTGCCTGCGTGGCTTAGTCACCTTCAGGAACGTAATTGGTGCTTTGGGGCCCGGTGAGCCACCAACACACCACTGAGATCCCTCCAGAAAAACACCACCAAAGCACAAGCTGCACACTCAGACACCACTACCGCGAAAGAACCAAGACACCACTTATGGAAACCAACCAATATCAGGACACCAAAGACACCACCGGGTCGGAAGACGAGACAACCACCAGGACACCGGCACGTTTGGAGGTTAGCAGGTAGGCAAGTAAGTTCCCATTTAGTCCCAATAACAAAGGGGTGACAGTAACATCCTCAAGCCGCCAATCCAAACCGACCACATACAACCACAAACCCAGGAAATTGGTAGCCTCACTTGACTGGCAAAAAATCAGCTGAAACTTTTGGGGCGGAAACTGAAACCAAACCCCATGCAAGGTTTAGTCCGTCCAACTAAGCAGGTAGCATTGCGGCAAAGCCGACCAACGCTTGGTATCCACCTGGAGAGGTCAACCAGACAACCTTTCGGTTTTGTTTTTGGGGGGCCAGGAATGGCGATTGCAATGCAAGGACTCGGACAAGAAAAAGGCAAATGCCTCTGCAACCTTGTCAGCGATGACCTTGTAGTACCGAACTATGTGTGCGCTGTTCTATTCAGCCCTAGATGGGTTCCGACAAATGGGTTTCAGGACATTATTGTCCTTTGCAAGCTGGAAATAGAGTAGTAGAGCCCCCCCCTTTAGGCCTTTAGGGTGCCCTGATTCATATGAATCCCTTTTGAGGATAAATCTCAGTGTTATCGGGGAACCGAATTCAAAAATGGGAAAGGACAGCTTGGACACCCTGGATAATGTCTGCCCGTCCTTTTGTAAATAGCGTCGGAGGTGCTCTCTGTGGCTTCCAAACCTCCATTACCCCAAACACGACACACACACACACACACACACATGCAGGTGGTATGTGTCAAAAAATGCTGGGACCCCCCAAAGCTTCCCTTTCAACCCAAGGTGACAAGGGGTACCTTTAACGAAACCCTACATTTTTTTCGGCGGGGCAAAACCTTTTCAGATTGTTGGACCAAAGACCCAGGGCATCCTCTTGAAGCCATTCCCATTGACATGAATGAAACATCCCCATTACAACATTACTATACCCACCGCCATTTATCTAAGGATTCTCATCATACAAGTTGAAACAGATTAGGTCCCAAGGCCATTCTTTTACTGGGAATCTGCATGATTTCGTTCCCCAACATTTTTGGAGGGCAACACCTTTTCCGGGTTGTTGGAAACAAACATTGCCAGGGCCACCCACTTCCAGTGGCCCCTTGAAGCATCCCGTGGTCCGTCCTTGCTCACCGGCACGCCCTCGGTACCACCCCCCACCACTTTCCAGATCTTCTGCGGCCAGGCGTTGGCCGCGCCGTTCAGCTCCATGTCCTCACGCGGCTGTTGGAAGCGGACACGGCGGTGCGTTTCTTTTCCCTTTTTTCCGCATGTCCCCAAGCCAAGGGACACCGGCCTTCCGGGTTGAGGTTCAAACACAACTTTCGGCAAACCAACGGCTTGCACTGATTTTTTCTTGCCAATCCACTCAGGAAGCGAGATATTGTAGGTGGACACACTCCAGTTGCAATGAATCAAGCTCCATGAATGGGATTTCAACCCCAACTAGTGCCCAACCTTCCTTTTCCTTGTGACTTTCAGGGGTTGACCTCAGCCACCCACCTGGTGTGAACATGAACTGCTGCAAAGCGGACTTTGTCTATCCCGTCATGGATACACCACGTGCCGCTGCTACAATGAATTTTATCCATCCACAGTGGTTTGACCAGGGTGAACCCCTTTTCCCCTTTTCCGGGCCCCAACCCCCCCCCCCCACCCGCAGAACCCGTTGGGTTCACACTAAACAAAGTCCAAACTGTTCGTTTACCACTAAAATGGTCTTCCCAAAAAGGTCAACTCCATGAACTCAGGGAGTGAGTTTCACTGGGCACCGGGACCCTCGACAGAACAACACACACACACAAACCAACCGCCAGCTGTGACCCACTCCAAGAACTTCGAAACCGCGTAAATGATGGCCCAAAAATCGCTTGAAACGAAACATCGGCTGAATGCTCCAGCCATCACCAAGTCTAACCCGGGTCCCCTATATGAACCAAACATGTCCCCTTAAAAGCATCACCCCCAAACAAAAAACCTCGCCAAACAGGTACCAACATGGTGATGTTTGAAACCACAGAAGGGAAATACAATGAAATACACATAAATTGTTGTTGGAGCCCAATTCCACGTCTCGTTGTTGCCGCATGCCATGTTTTTGGGAGCACGATTTCGCTGTGGGTCAAAAATAAGTGCCCAACATGGAACCCTGGTAAATGGAAAAGTAGACTAAAACCTGTGGTCCCCTGGTGGCTTCATTTTGACCCATACCCATTTGCACGATTTTTGGCCGCGGCATCGACGCAGTTCCGCTCGGTTCCGCTCGCCTCCAGCGCCTGCGGCAGATCCGTGGCGAGGACGCGGGCGCCCAGGGCGGCGCAGACCATCGAGGGCAGGCCGATGCCGCAGCCCAGCTCCACCA